TTCTAATGCCGTGGCTCTTAATTGAGTTATCTTATTAGAATCACCTGCAGAGCTTTTTAAGCAAGGCTCAGTGCTTTATCCCCAGCTATTGTGTTTGGGTTAGTCTGGAGTAGGAATTAGACTTCAGTACAACTGTACATGGAAAGTTTTATAATAGTCAGAAATAAAGGCCACTATTCCAGGATAAAATTATTTCTGCAAACATTCTTTCTCTAGGTTACACCTTCACAATCATATGAAAGTACCATTAAAAAGTTTAAATCATTGTATAAAACCTTTTATCATGTGGCAGCTTGATTATCTCTGCTTTTACCTTTTTATTTATAGCCATGAGTGAGTATCTCAAAAAAGCTGTACACATTTCTCTGCCAACTTTCCTGTCTCCTTGCCTTAATTAATAATAAAGTCACAGAGGTAGGAACCACAGAGAAAATATCTAAGACAATTTTTTCCCACAGAAATAAATGTCTTACTCCTTTAGATTTTTTTTTTTTTTTTAAGATTCTTACAGCCTGAGACAATGTATTCCAGGACATTGTTCTGTCTACCCTAGGTCTGAGAGTCATCTAACATACAATAGATTTTTTTCAAGAAATAAAAATCAAAGATACTGAATATCAAGATAACTTTGAATTAAACAAATGTAAATACTGATATAAAGCTGTTCTAGTTTACTTAGTTTAAGCTAATCCAGAGTTAATAAAACCTAGTAAGTAAAAAAGATTTTTGTAGTCTCAAATAATGCTAACCCCATTGTAGTACAAATACCACTTTGATAACAGATAAAGCATTTTAATATGTAGCACTCATATTTTTGGCTCTAGTATTTGTAAATATAATAAAATGATAAATTATTTTTCTGCAACCTCTCTCACATCTTAAAACTTCTACCAGAAATTCTCAAATGTAACTTCTAAGATCTTTCTGTATGCATAAGAAACTTTGGCTGCTCCACATACTAGAGAAAATAAAATTGATGATCAAAGAAACTATGAGCAAAGGCTACATAAAAAGCCTAGCCAATAAATTGCAAAGTGGGTTGTATTAGGAAATGTTTTCAGTAACTTTGTGATGGATTGGCTTTATTGACCTGAGATAAAATCCGGTTATTTTGCCTTCAAATAATCAAAGGTCTATCATTATAAAAACAAGTTGGAATGAACCTATTATGTACTAGTATATAAGTTGTGGGTTGTTTTTTCTAATACATCTGAATTTGTTTCATTTCATAAACGGGAAATTTATCCCTTTATTTCAATCGGTATATTTGTAAAACTTGCCATCAATATATATGTTGAAAGTTCTAGAAGGGGGTTTTGAAGAAAGGGCTTTGAGTTTAAAGTCATACTTAAAGTACTACCAGCATCATCTAATAACTAGTTATCTGACTTTGGGTACCTCTCCCACCTTCTCGGAGCCTGTGA